ATTGAAAAATATAATTTATACTCTTCAAGAGCAAGTAATATTCTTTTGGAATATTAATTATAATATTGTGTTACTTCAAGAGCAACATCATGATAAATTATTAATTTAAAATTTATAAAAGAATATTTCAAATTATTTAATCAGTTTAAAGACACAAATGATATTTAATAATAATCATGTATATATTTTGCTAACATATAAAAAAAGAACAATGAAAATAAATATGAATTGCTCCTATGCAAGAGTGTCATGTGTAGATGTACAGTAGAAAAAACAAATTCTTTACCTTTATCAAACCTATTACCTATTATCATACACAAACTCCCATGCTGACATAAGCAATTTTTTTTTTTTTGGGGCATCTTGATTACATGTCTCATAAACCAATTCACATGTATGTATAAAAAAATGGGAATTAATGTAAATTATGGCAGAAAATACGAACTGTAGATTGCGACGAAAACCAATGCAAATTGGGGCAGATTTAGACTAATTACAGTACGTGTTCGAACCATAAAATTCATACTAATTTCAGCAGATATGCTTACCAATTCATAATGCACGTGTATATAAAATAATTCATATGCCACCAAAATGATTTTGGTCATATGATAGATTATTATGTTTAAAAAAAAATTACTACATTTTCTAAACTTTGAACAATTAAGTTTTCGTACTGATGACGCGTTATAAAAAGAGAGAATAAGAGAAGTCAATAGACTATGTGTATTATAATGAGAACCAAAACCCTATATTTATAGGGAAAGAATAAGGATACATATGATAATAATATTTAGGGCTACAGGGGTATAAATGTCATTCACATTAAACCCTAATTTACTTTCCTCCTACAATATTGACAACATTTTGATTCCCCCCCTCCCCCAGGAAAAAAAAGAAAGAAAAGAATTTGGAAAATGTTCATCTTCTTCCCCACTCCCAACCTTAACTCCAACCAAACCAAATCACTCCAACCGTGTCAACGACCACCACCTACCCACCTAGAGCCTCCAATGTCGTGTATAAGTCGACGATGGCTCTAGTTAATCATTCCATTTTTATAACTGTAGCAACCCGAATTTTAAAATGNGATGAGATTTTAGCCAAATACCCAGACATTTCAAATCAAGTTTAATTTCGAGGACGAAATTTATTTTTAAGTGGGGGAGGTTGTAACGACCCGAAATTTTCAAATGTAAATTTTATAACTTAAGTTGTGTCGCTATGACATTTCCGTCAAATTTTAGAATTTATTTTACGTCTGTTGAGTTGTCTAGCAAGACATGTAATATAAGAATTCAAAGCGATTTTTAATCTCGAAAATTCAATAGTTTCTTGTCGGGTCGAATTTTACACCCAACATCTATTTTAAATTTCTCCTGGTTAATGCTTATACATATGAAAATGTTGATAGGGACTGTAAATATGTCCGAAATTGAAAGTGGGTCCTTGGGGTTGTCCCATAGCTAATAACATGCTGTCGGGACCGTAAATAGGTCCAGGATCGTAATTGAGTTCTTGGGGATGTCCTACAGTACACATTTCTATAGTATGTTGTATTGGTATTATATTCAAA